CGGTACGAAGAAATGGTACTCCGAAAGTTTGGCAAGGCAAAAGTGGCGCCCAAGTGGAAGATGATCCCCTTTGTCTTTTGATACTCACTTGAGCAAAGAGATCTTGGTCTCAACGCCCTCCCAGAAACCCAAACTTAGACCCCAGCTTGGAGACTTTCATTACGTCTCGGTATGTGAGGCTCGTGCGAGTTGCGCGTACGTTGTGGCCCTCGCTGAAGCTTTCCGGGGATCCCAGCAGGGCCCAGTTTGCGACTGTTTCGACCGAGAGTTCTACGTCCTCCTCCAGATCCGCGATGCCATGTAAATAATCGGTGTAAAGCGCATCAGTCGTGATCAAAAGGCTCCGCGGCTCCTGCAAGATTCGCCAAATAGGCTTTGGGTCCAAGGCACCATCCTCTTTGCTCTGATGGAGATTCAGGCACAAGCTTGCACCCAGGCTGACTGTGCACACAACCGGGTGGTAGGCAGATCCGTCCTGTATTTGGTCTCATGAGTACTCCTGCGTGTATGCAACAACATACCCTGGACTTGCCTTGTGCGGCATGATACCGACTCCAGGGGGGTATTCGTTGATCAGAACGTGGTTCGGTCGTTTGTGGGGGCTGTCTGAAAACAAGCTGTCGGAAATATCATCGGTGGAGCGACGTAGGTCACAAAGTCGACTGATGATGGGAGTCTCGAGCCAACGAGGCAGAGGGGCATCAATGAGCTTGTCGTGTACAAGATCGGACGGCCAGGTTTGCAGACGACGGTGGGTAAGCTGCTTCCACCGCGGTTTCGGTGCTTCTGCGATCTTTCGGCAGTCAGTACCTTGTTCTGGGGCGGCTGTTCAAGTCATGTCGTCGCCACCAGTACCTTTTGCAGGATGCTGGCCTCTTCTTCCTCGGATATGAAGTTTGGGAAGTAGAAGGCAGATGCTGGCAGCGTTGTGATTTTGGCCTCAGCCAGAGGTGGCAGTGGTTGTGAGGTCATGGCGGCGAAGGATACGTGGTCGTTGGACGTGCCTTGCGGCTGTTATCGGGGACGAGCACAGGACTTAGATGGGAGGAGTCGCGCTGCCTTGTCTTCCCGATTCGTGACCTACGAGCTGCTGGATATGGCGCTGGTGCCGGATCAGAAAGAGGACCTGCTGGAGCCTGGTACTGCAAGGAGGTGGGTTTGTTTGCATCAAAAGTAAATGACGCGGTCCTATTGGTTCATTTCACAAGCTCTTCTGGAAGCGAATCGATGAGTAATGAAATCCCAGGCCCGAGACATGGAGTCCCAGCTGGCTTCTATCGAGACCGTGTTTAGGGGGAAAGAGGGTCCCGGCCCCCCCAAAACCAGGAAGACGGCCTGTCGGGTGGCGGGCATGCCACGGTAAAGTTTTGGAAAGATGGAGGCTCCCCTGAATGCAGGGCGAGGGGTAGAAACGAGTTTTGGTGCTGCATCGAATTCGGGATTCAGAGAAGATAAGCGTACGGATGGAAGGGAGGCTGGGGACCAAATTCAAAGCAGGATGATGCTGAGACCGAGCAGCTAGGTCTATCGGTCCACGCCAGGCAGCATGGCACAGTCTACGGCCACAACAAGGACACCCGGCCCCCCCTCACGCTCCCCCCCCCTGGTCCGGCACTGGGGCCATCAAACCGGGAGGCGGGTCAGACTTTGAACACAGCACTGAAGACTCGCGAGACCCATCCTTTG